GTTTTCTTCTATTGTTTTTTAGCCAGCTTAAAAAAAAACTATTAACCATTAAATTTTAGAGCTGTAGCCTTGTTTTCAGAATTTTACAGCCACTTGGAGGCTCAAGCAAAATTCTGTTAGTAGAATCATGAAGATCCAGCAGCATCATCCTAGACAGAAAAAATCTGACATCAATTACATCTATTATCTGGCTGGTAAGATTAGTGTAATTAGTGATTTTTTTCTGCCTAGGATGATGAATTCATAATTGTCTTGACCTTACTCACAGAATCAGAGCAGCTGTGGCGCATTGGTAGCGCACTTGCATCAGACACAAAAGGATCCGTGTTTCGAACCCCACTTCTGGGCAGGATTTGCAACTTCAGTTAGGAAGGAGTCGTAAACTTTCTATTAAATGTTCTTTGGTGGTGCTCTGTGATAAGATTGTAACAACTTCTTGGGGTACCTAAATAAATTAAATAAATAAATAAAATAAAATAAAAATTTGTGCATTAGCCTACCTTATGGTGGCTGTGAAACTCTTTCTGCTTCTTCTAATGAGGGTACAGCTCTGATACTCAATTTAATGGTTCTAAGGCCTTAGCTTCAGTTTCTCCTTTTTCTCCTTTAGTTGATGCAAGTTGCTCCATGATTTTACTAAAAATTTTAACTTATACTTCTTCTACATCAGATTCACCCAATCATTGCACTTGCTATTGTTATTGCTATTGTTACTTTAAGGCTGACTTGATTTTATTTAATGCTTTTCTTTGGATAGTCCTTCGACTGATGTCATTCATCTCTATTAAAAATTTTGCCTTTTTTGTAATCTCCTAGTCTTTGTAATTCATTACATTAGTGATCGATCGAAAATAATATTTTGCTAGAACTGAAGCCGAACCTATTATTTATAACTAGAATTTCTGAAAATCCTGTATTTTGATATCCACTGGATTCAGATTTTGGATTTTTGAAAACCATTGGATATTGGATAACCAATCACTTTTTAAATTGAATTTAGTAACTTACTAGAGTTAATATTTTTAATACAATAAAACAGCAAATTTGTGTAAGTTTAATTTTTACAAATCAGTTTTAAATAAAACAGTTTTAGAAATTCAAACGTATTAAACAATTTATTAGATAACTGAGATCAAATTTTGGTGCAGAAATTAACAGAAAAAACAGATAATTTTATGTACATTTTTATTTTTTTATTTTTTTTATTTTTTATAAAGTGTGTTGGAAACAGCTAAATGCATGCCATGGTTATAACATAACTGGTAAGTTCCTGGGCTCTCTTTACCATACTTAACCCTTTCATTACCAGACCAAATTCAGTAAAATGATTGTAAGTGAAATGTTATCATCAAAAAGCTATAAAATAAAAAATATTTGTCATAATTTCACAAATATTTTATTTGTCAAAAAAATGGCAGCCAAACTATTTTTTTAAAAGTCTATCTTTTTTAAGCCTTAGTTATGTGATTAAATTTTGTTTTTAGCGTGGTTACATTTACTAAAAAATATCATAATCCACATAGTGGGTGACTGGTACTGAAAGGCTTAATCATAATAGCAGGCCTTGTTATGAGATTTTGTTGCATAACTGAAAAGCGTTACTTAGTTTATGTAACTTTACTCAATATTCATATTTACATTGTTAAAAGTTAAATTATGTCAGTTGCATATTTTAAAATACAGCATTGTAATTAAATTTAATTTGAAACCATGTTAAAAATCATTAAAAGTCCTTATATTTTTAAATTAAACAATATTGTTATAAAAAATAAATATTAGTTAAGTTATCAATAAAGTTTAATTATGTTTTTTGAAAAAAAAAATCTATTTTAAAAGACTTATACTATTTATTTCTTAAAACAGTCATAATACAACAATTTTTCTATTTCTGCTTTCTCGCATTTTAGTTGTTTTTTTTTAATGAAGGAAGAATTGTTTATGGGTGAAGTTCTTAATGTTTAATTACCTAATTTTTTTTTTTCAACTATAAAATAAACTTTTCTTATAATAACTTTAAACAAACTATTGATTGAGTTTATCATTTATCAATAAAATGATAAACTCAATAAAATGTTTGTGAACATATTTTTTGCTTATAAATAAAACCATTGTCATATAAACTTTTCTCGATATTGACCATTATGATTTTAATTTATTATTTGTATAAAATATATGTTAATCCAGGCAATACAGGATAAAAAATACTTATTGTTATTAGCCAAAATAAAAAAAATATATAAGATCAAATATAAAGATCAACTTCAAAAGCGTATAAAAATAAATAAACTTAAAAAACAAGTATTATTTGGTAAATACACATGGTCTGATTATTTGTCCGATCTGACAGACAAATAATCAAAAGTAATGTTGGCCTGACTAGGTTATTTTATATCATCATTGTTTAAAAATATGATTAATTTGCCTTTATGTTTTTGTCAATACAAGTTTTTAAGGTTTGTCTAAACAAGCTATATGAATGATTTATTTCAAAAAATAACTAAAGAAATAAAACAAAAAACTTCAACAAGCAATGATCTTGAATAATATTTTATTGGCAATCAATTTAAAAAAAGTTTAAGGAATATCTTGAATAATGAATAAAAAAAATTTTGTTGCAGGGTATTTAGGTCATAATTTAAAAAAACAAAGTATTTAAAATATCATGAAATTTTCTTTTTTATAGGTTATAACAAAAATACATATAAATGTTTATAAATATGTATGTATATTTTGTAATACAAAGGTAGCATAAGTACATTAACGACAAAAACAATATAAATAATCAAATGGAGTACTAAAGTATGTAATTTATTCATATCTTAACATTTTATGTGTCATCTTTAGATAAAATATTATTAGAGACATTTTGTTTATGAGAATATTTATCAGAATGTGCCCATTCATACCGAAATTTGCAGAATGGTTTTGACTTGTATCTCTTGTCAAAAAAATTTAATCAGATGATATCCATTCATTAATCCTGAATCATAAATATTTCCCAAACCACTTTCCTAATTATTCAAAATTAGCTCCCAAGAATGACCAATCAGTTTGTGAAGTGATGGTATTAATACTGATCCATGGTCCAGGTAAATTTATTTTTGTAGCAGGTGGAAACTCATTAAATAGAAATAAAAATCTGTGCAAAAGCTTTTATAATGATCCACATAAATTTTTGAGGAAAATACTCAAAGTATTACTGAAAGCACTAATTGGAACTTTTGAAATGTTGGATGATATTAAACAGGCAATTGTGCAATAATTAAATCCCTGATTATTTTTGTGCAATAGTTCTCAAGTTATATAACCTGTTGTCATTGTTCTTCTTTTTTTAATTGTATCAGGGTAGTTCGATTTTATACCTGTTTTTTTAATACCTCTGTTTTTAATTTAGTCTTTGCTTCCTTCAGAAATCTATTTGAAGCACTGAAAGGGGACTCAGACTAATCAAAAACACCAGCTTTCACATGTACAACAGTTTTTATAAAATGGTCAAATGTACCCAGTAAAGCATAAAGAACCTTAAAAATATCAGTAATTTTTAAATGTAATAATTTTTGATGTCAAGTATGTTCACATATTGACAATATAGAATAATATGAACACTATTACAAGATAAAAAACGATTTTGAACAAAGAGTTTTTTTTTGATTTGTATATAAATGCCTACCAAGCATAAACTGTTTAAATTGACATTGTTTCTATTGGAAACTTATTAAAGGAGTTATTCTTTAACCTTCTAGCAAGGTTTCCTTACCAGCTTTGAATTGTATGCCAGCATAGCCCATTTTTTTAAGTTTTTTCTTCAGATGCAGATGTCAATTTATCGAAGCCTAGTGTCAGCAATAACAGTATACAACCTGTTAAGTTTGCAGAAATAGTTTTTGATTGTTTATTTTCTTCAGCAATAAAAATTTCAAATAAGTCAAATTCAGCGAGCTTCATTGTTATTAAACTAAAGATATAAATATTTTTGTTGATTCATTATCTAATAACTTTTTAAACAAAATGATTCAAACTTAAATTTATAATATAATTCAAAATATAAACAAGTTTATGTGAAAAGTAAAAGTATTTTTTTATTACTATATATACCACAAAGTCCTCTGTTTTAATTTTAACTCTTAAAATTCGTTCATTTTTAAGATTTCAACTCTGCAATATTTTTTTGAATTAATGGTTGTACTAACTAGATTAAAATTGGTCAAAAAAAATAAAGTTCAATGGAAAAGAGGACAGGGGTGGTGGA